CGTATTTTTCAAGAAATGATGCCCTACCCATCACCGGCAGAAAAGCGTGGACCCTAGTTTTCATAGTTTTGGAGTTCACTGAACTTAGCGCATTGTTTTGGTCAAAATAAAGGCTGGCAAACAAAGAGGGGGGAGGGCAGTTCATCTTGTTGAGGGCATCTGCATCTTGCTGGTTCCCATTGATCACTGCCGATGCCTCCTCTGCATAATTCCTGTAAAGCTTGCAGTAGCAGAAACTCCGCTTACTCTTGACAACAAATTACAAATATCACCAAGCGTGAGATGTGTAATTCGACGAACTAGCAAAGCCAGCGAAAGTGGAAGGTACCCCTCCCAAGCCAAAAAGTACCAAAGAATGTACAGCTGGCGCTACCTTCTTTACCAATCACTCGTTGACAAAGACATGGACTAAGTTCGTGTTGTACGCCAGTAATTTTGTTCTCAGTGACTCAAAATAAAGGGCACGGTATTTGACGTATTCAACAGCAGTTCATATTCGTCCGAGTATGTTCGATGCGGCTCACATTCGATGCATGGGCCGTCCTTTCAACAGAGTCGGGTTTACTAGCAGTTACTCACCCTCGAGGTGTAGCGACCTTGTTTGATATGGGATCTGATTAGAGCTGGTTTTTGTCGCCGGCTATCCCCTGATGATTGTGAAACATGCCGGTGTCTCACCATTAACTGAACCGTTTTCTCTGAATCCTTCAGATCCATTTGATTCTTCCAGAGCTGCATGTAAATTTGCCGAGTTGTCGCTGTGCTCATGAAAGTGCTCACGGCCTGCCGGCGGGATCGATCACACGCGCATTGACGCTTATCATTCAAAGGAACACTTCGTGATTACAAGTTGTCGGTAGCGTGGTTCAACAATGCATGCAAGTGTAATTGCTATCCGAATTACCAGTGAGAAAAAAAATCAGAGAAGCAGCCGAACGTGCGCCAAACTCCCTTTGCTTCCGAGCATTGGACGAATATGTGAGAGAGAGGGACTGTTTGTAAAGGCTAGAGACCAGACACAAGAGTGGCGAGAGAGCAACATGGCATGGTGTCATATGTACGTGAGCA